CTTTGCCTCCTGGGTGCTAGGATTACAGGTGTGCTCCACTTCACCTAGCAAGCATTTGTGTTATTTTTATGGGCTGGCTGGCTGGCTTAGTGATCCCCAGTTCAACCTTCTTGCTTTATAGACAGGAAACTAGAGGATCAGTGATGGAGGGTGAGTTGTCAGAGGTCACCCAGTGGGTCACAGGTCCAGTCGTATGTGATTCTGGATCAAGTGTTCCATATGTGAATACATCACTCCCTCCCACCACCCTCAGAGCACACAGGGGTGAGGCAAAGCTGATGACCCCAGCCTGCAGGTTTCTTAACTTTCCTTCTGCCAAGGAGCAGGTAGTTGTCCCTCTCAGAGAAGGAAAGTCTGATGCTTAGAGCCTTTCAGTGGGGGAGGGGCTCCTCCTTTACGATCAGCCAGAAGCTTGGCAGTCTTGGAGACCATGCTCTGTATACTACCCCCTCCCCCAGCCGTCCTGGTGATGTAATAGGTTTGCTACCTCCCAAGATCCTTGCCAAGCCACTCAGGGCTCATCTGCAATCCAGTCACTGCCTGGCAGTCAGGAAGGGAGACCCAACCCTCGGCTGAGGGGTTTCTTTCTACAGCTGTGTGTCAGGCTGGCTACTCACTCCTTAAGTTCCTTAAAGAAGGCTCTGGGAACCCATGAGAAATACCAGCCCTAAACTTCCTAAGAAGTTTGTGTGTAAAAAGTCCACTCTGGCCGGGCGCCGGTGGCTCACACCTGTAATCCTGTCTATTCAGTAGGCTGAGATTTGAGGATTGTGATTCAAAGACAGCCCAAGCAGGAACATATGTGAAATTCTTAACTCCAATTAACTACCAGAAAACTGGAAGTGGCCCTGTGGCTCAAATGGTAGAGTGCTAGCCTTGAGCTGAGTTCAAGCCCTACAACCAAAAAAAAAAAAAAAAGTCTGCTTTGGACAGAAGGGTTTTTGTTGGTCTACTTTTACTGCTCTCACCCCACAGGACAAATGCCGTCATACTTTCTACAAGGACTCAGAGGGAAAAGCTCATCTGGTCTCTTCCTCTTCTGCCCCAAACACTCTCAAAGCCCTTGGGCTTTTCTCAGGACTTCCTCCTCCTCTGGCCTCATCTTGGGGTACCCAGGACATCCAAGACAGCCCTCTACTAAGAACCCAGGGAGAGGTGTGACACACATAGCTAAAAGCCGTTTTGGCAAGAGTAAGCTAACTCCAAGACACCTTTCCCCTATCCCCCAGTCTGTAGGGGAGTGAGTAGGCCCTGCTGGTGTATCTGTCTCATCTGTCTCTTCCCCTGCCTTCTAACCACTTCTCCATTTCTTCTCTCTGCCTTTCTGGCACTGCCCACTATCTCTACTCCCCCCCCCCACCATTCCAGTGTCCATGTTATAGGCTTGGGGGGCAGGGGGTGATGACAACAGGCCACCTTCCCTCCACTGCAGGGACCCTGCTGTTTCCACCCTAGCCCTCATCTGTCTCTTGACATTCCTGCTGTTAGCACAGGTTCCTGGAGGAGAGGTTTCTGTGAAGTCCACCATGAGTTCTGTGCAACCAGAGGTATTGTAGGGGGTAGACTCTGTGCGAAGAGGTACAAGACAGCAAATAGTTCAATGCGCAAGCTCACATGGAATCTCCCGACAAATATTCAACCTGCGGGGCTGGAGGAGTGGGCATGGGGTCACCCAAACACAGAGGCATGAGCTAGGAGGCCTTCCTGGCTCATGGCTGACCACTGAGGAACCATACCTGAGGGACACAGAGAGCCTGGGGAGGTGTCAGGGAAATAGGTGGAAAATAAGACCTTGGAAACAAGAAGCATGAACATCAGGACTGCCCTGCTAAGATATTAAAGAGACAGAGTGGGAGTTTTGAGTGTGGGCCCGAAATTCCTGTACCTTGGTATCTGATCTGTTTCTCTTCATCTGTACACAGGACTCAACTAGATAATGTGAGCTACAAAAAAAGTGATTGAAGTAGGATGTACAGCAGTGGAATTTATAGGGAAGTAGAAAATATTCCTTGGATGCTCACAGTGTGGGGCATCCAAGCTCACAGGGGCAAATTCAGTAATATGGGTGCTGGGCCAAGCTAGAGCATGCTTACTGTGTTCCATTTGCCTTCCAGCTTTCCTACCTCAAGGTGGCTCAGTGATAGAGTGTTTGCTTTGCATGCATGAGGCGCTGGGTTCAATTCCTCAGCACCACCACATAAACAGAAAAAGCCAGAAATGGTGCTGTGGCTCAAGTGGTAGAGTGCTAACCTTGAGCTGAAGAGCTCAGGGACAGTGCCTAAGCCCAGAGTTCAAGCCCCACAACTGATTAAAAAAAAAAAAAAGAGTAGAGATTGTGGTTTTACCCCTCTTTGTGGGACGGTAGTGGAGACATCTGGAATCTAGTGTCTGCCATCCACACTGAGCACTCAGTGAAGTGATTTACAGTGAGTGAACAAACCCTTACAGCAGGTCCCAGAGAGTGGAGACTGCCACTGTGCCTTCCTGCAGTGTTCCCTGTTCTAGTGGCCCACGACCTTGCTTCCTCCCCACAAAGAGGGTGGGGAGGGCAGCACCAGCCAAGGATGGAGGAAATGGAGAGAAACTAACTCCCCATCACTATCATGGCCAGATGATGGACTTCAGGACCACTGACAGGACTATCCTGCACACAGTTTCCACCTACTTCCTGCCCCACATCTCAAGGTCTCTGGTAGGTTTCCCAACCTGCTCTGTGTGTGTGTGTGTGTGTGTGTGTAGGATGATGAGCTGGGTGGCAGTCTATCAGGCCCCTTGGTCCTCACTCCCTCCTCAGCTCTGTCCCACATGCAGGCTCAGCTACCAGCCTGGTTTGTAAGTGGGGTGAGGCCCTTTATGCCTCTCTCAGCTCCAGAGGAAGTGACTGACAAGTCTAGCTAACTGTCTTTCTTTAAAGCCAGGAGGCAGCAACAGGGAGGAGTAGGGTATAGGCCCAAGCATGACTGGGGAGCCCATAGGGAGTCTGTGAAATAACTTGGCTCATGGCCTTGAAAACCCCAGGATGCCACCTCTACCCACCAGTCAGGGGGCCAGGTTCAGGCACTAGCTCTGTACAGACCTCACTGGGGCCCCCGGGTAGCAGGCGGCAACAGGCAGCAGCAGCCACTGAGTCCAATCACTCCATACCAGCTTTCTACTCCAGGCCAGGGCTGCTGGATGGCAGGGTGCCCACCGAGTCCCAGGTAGTAGGGATTGGTGGGGTGAGTGTGAGTGTGCAGGCCCTCAGGAACCCCCAGTACCCCTTACCTTGAGCTGGGACTTGGAGACCTTGCCGCTCTTCTCCACGTCCAAGGCAGTGAAGGCATACCAGATGGACTTGAGCAGCTCCTTGCGCAGGGCCATGGCTGAGGCGCCTGCCCTGCCTGGGGGCGGCTCCGACACCAAGATCCGGTTTCAGGAAGTGCAAACGGCTGCAGACCGCAGAGGGGCCCTGGTACAGAGCAAGAGCTCCACCTGCCTGCTTGCTCTCACTCCCCTGCTGGGCTGTGGCTCTGACAGTGCTCAACCAGTCCCTCTACCTGCCAGGGAGCAGGGACCAACTGCCCAGAGCTGGAGCCTCCGGTGGGCCTGGAGCCCCGGGTATGTGAAGCCTTTTAGAAGCCTCCTTGCTGAGCTTGCTGGCACCTTTCCCAGGCTACCAGAGGTGGCACACTGAGGGAAGAAGGCCATCCTGACTTTGCAGCCAGCAGATGGGGTCCCACTTAAGTGGGCTACTTAACCTGACAGAGCAGTTTCTTCTTGGTGAAGGGGGAAAATGCCCAAGTCCTAGGGTGTGAGACATCTGAGACCGGATGTTAAGGACACAGTAGGCTCTGGATGAAGCATTTCAGTTCTACCTGACACAGCCTCAGTGGTGGGGCTCCACCCAAGTGGAAAAAAACAAAAGTGACGCCACAAGGCTAGAGGAGGAGCTGGGCCAGGGCACAGCTCCAGGTCAGCAGACTTGGCATTTGACTTGCTGGCACCCCACTCCTCCTGAGGGGGTCACTGGTTCTAAAAAGCACCCAGAGCACAGGGGTCCCAGCAGGAGTAGGCTGGGGTTCAAGGCCTCTGCACAGCGCTTCAGTTGCCTTAGAGTAGAAGCCTATGAGGATAGCCAGGGCCACCCTCAGCAGAGGAACTGCTCAGAATAACAGACACCCCGTCCCTTGGGCACGCCCCAGCCCCTCTGCTTCTACTGGGCTGGGGTCAAGACTAAATGGGACTAAAAGCAAACAAGAACAAAATAAAACAAAAAGGAGTAGATGGGAGTTTGTAGGCACCCTGTGAGGATGCCAAGGCTAGAGGAGGGGCTCCATTCTTGGGCAGGAAAGGGCTAGGGAAAGGGGCACCTCCAGTTCTGATAGTGCTTCCATCCAGCTGGGGGAAAACACACAGCTCCTTTCCATGAAGTACACGAACTCCTTGCTGCTGTGGGGCTGGCCTTCCCTTACCCTTCACTTTTCAGTGGGATCAGACTATGGCTTTGGAGTCGCATAGTATAGCCCCTGACACCCAGTGCTCCTCACTCCACAGCTAAGTAATAGAGCCAGGACCCCAAGAACCCTGGCTGCTCTGACCTGGGGCTTTTCCCTTTTGTGGCAACTGTGTATAATGGGGGTGGGGAGAGGAGCTACACTCTACCAAGGATCCTCCTGCCTTGGTAAATTCTAGCAACTTGCAATCTGTGGTGCTAAAAGAAAATCAATCTACAACAAAAGGCAGCCAAACCCAGAGCTCTTCCAGCCCAACCATCTGAGACCTGAATTGGGCCGGAGTCTGGTCTGTCCTCTGGCCCTGGCTTGTTACCCTAGAGCCCAAGTTCAGGTGTGGGTAGGAAGCTACTCGCAGCAACTCATAATTGGCCTCCTCCCATCTAGACCCCGGCAGGCCAGCCCCACAACGAGGCCATGGAGGTGAGCAAGGTTTGTGCCAGGGAGACAGCATGTCCTGCTACCCGGGCAAAGAGTTCAAAGGATGGAAGAACCAGGTGGAAACTTGGAACTTTTATTAAATAGTCATTCACCCGTTTGCCACCACCACCCAGAGAAGGAAAAAAATATCAAAATGGAATTTAAAAAAACAAACAAACCACAAAACAAATGAAACCCAACCCCCAGCAGTCTATATACAGGCCACTCACTCCCTGTTTTTGCCACAAAGAGATTGGGAAGCAGCTGGGGTGTGTTGTGGGGAGCTGGGCACCTCTGCTCCAGCCACAGGCCCCTGAGGAATTAATTCTGTGGTGGCAGGAAATCTCTAGTGCCAAGTGGCAGACATCCTGGCTGCCTCCAGGAGGTGTTATTGCTGGGCAAGGCTGGGCTGCTCTGCCCTAACGCCCAGGGCTGAAGAGCTATCTGCCCTTTTCCCTGTTAGGCCCTGACCTGTCAGCATGGAGGCCAGTGCCCACTGCCCCCATCTCCACCTGAGAGGGGGACTGGACAGATGCGGGATGGGTGTTTTCCAGAAGGGAGAGAGCAGGTCCTAGTGCCGCCTAGCGATCAGGCTGGTTTTCCTCAGCGTCTGCTGCCTGGCCCTCACCTCAGGCAGGGGCCCTTCCCCTTCAGTGAGGCCAACTTTGGGCTGCCTTCTCTCTCCAGACACCTACGTGGCCACCTTCCATGTGCCAGGCACAGCCAGGGCCCTTAGGCAGGGTTGCCTGTGAGCGCGGCACTTCCGCCAGCATGGGGTGGGAGCCAGCCCTCAGGCTCAGCAGCCGCTCTCTGACATGGTGGTCTCCAGGGCCACTGCCCCTTGCTGCATGGCAGCAGTGGCCACACTGATGGCCTCCTCCAAGGTCTGCTGCTCCTCTAGCTGCAGAGATGGGGTGCAAAAGGAGGAATGTGTGAGGCCCTTCTTCCTAGATCCTCTGGTAAAGTGCGCTCTACCTTTTTGAGTTCTCCCCATCTCCCCAGGACCATATGCTGAGCTTTTACTTGGCAGGAATCCAATAAACAAAAAGTTCATCATTAAAGAGTCCTACTAGGCTAGGTGGGCTAGCCCCAGGTTGGAGAGACCTTGATGGGTATCTACTTCAGCCTTCTTTCTCCATGTGAAGAAACACGAAGGAAGAGATGAGGGGATCAGCCTACAGGTAGACTGTGGCTACGTTGAAGGCTGGAAGGAGCTTCCTCATTCTGCCTTAGTCAAGAAAGAGCCCAAGACATGTGGATGCAAGCAGAAAAAGATCTGTCTTCTGAGGTGGAATCTTTTTGAAATTGATGTCCTTATCTTCAAGATGCCCTACCCCTCCTTTTTTTTTTTTTTTTTGGTCCGGTTGTGGGGCCTGAA